GAATTCATTTTAATAAGCTCCTAGGTGTAACAGATATGGTACCTAAACAGTATCAGCCGCTAAACAGTGATAACTGATTCCTTAAATAACATCAAAGTATTACGAGTATGTCAAAATGCAGTTAGGAAAAATTCTCACGGTAGACGGACAGAAGTACTGTGGAAAATTATGTTAGTAACAGCCATTGCAGTGTCGGCATAACTAAGTCAATTTTTCAAAGGACAAGCAGTTAAAATAATTATATGGTTACCTGAGCATTGTAACTTTGGAGACCCACCACCGGAGAAACAATACTATCTACATTAGCAGAATTGACTTTTGTACTTCTACGAATCATATGACCAAGTGAATGGTAAGTCAAAAATGCTGCACGGAAATTGCCATCTGGAATCCTATAAATAGGATACCATGCCACTGAGTACCTGAAATATTAAATGGCACCAAAAGTTACTATATTTCTTGGAGTTAGCTGTTGGTACAACGAAATTAGTTCTGTATAAACGTTCGAAAGATAACAAAGAAGTTATTGTTCCATTGAGCATACTAGTTTTATGATAGGAACCCACCCCAACAACTTCAACAACTGGATTGGGCAATGGGTCTTTCATGGGCTTGGATATAACTCTCTTTGAAAAACCGGCTTGCCAAAGGAGGATTCCCAAGCCCTTATAAACTACATGCCCACACCTTTTCCCTCTCTATGTGGGATCCCAACATTCCACCACGCTTTCGCCACCGACGTCCATGTCGGCTTCTTTACCCCTGTCGGCCTCTTCACCCCTTGGGTGACTATGCAGATCCCCTTTCCCTCGGGTCTCCATGCCCTTTCTCGGGGTAGCAACCCGAGCCCAAGGTCAGCCTACCACATAGGCGACATCCCGTGGGCACAGAATCATGCCCTGATACCAATTAATAGAAACCTACTCCCAAATTAATAAGAATTGGGCTGGATAGTGGGCCTTTGATAAGAATTGGGCTGGGTAGTGGGCCTTTGATAAGAATTGGGCTGGGTAGTGGGCCTTGATAGGATTTGGGATAGGCAGTGGTCCTTTTGTGGGCTTGGGTAGAACTCTCCTTGGAAAACCGGCTTGCCAAGGGAGGGTACCCAAGCCCTTTACAACCTATATGCCAACCCATTTTCCTTCCAATGTGGGATCCTAACACACCGCCACACTTCGCAACCAATGTTCACATCGGTCTCTTTATCCCTTAAGTAACTACGCGGATCCCCTTTCCCTCAAGCCTCTATGCCCTTTCTTGGGGTAGTAGCTCGAGCCCAAGGTTAGCCTGCCATGTATGCGATGTCCTATAGACACAAGATCATGCTCTGATACCAATTGATAGGAACTCACCCCAACAACTCAAACAATTGGGCTGGGCAATGGGTCTTTAATGGGCTTAGGTAGAACTCTCTTTAGAAAACCGGCTTGCTAAGAGAGGGTGCTCAAGCCCTTATAAACCACATGCCCACACCTTTTCCCTCTCAATGTAGGATCCTAACATTTTATTCAAATCAGATTGAATAGAGTTACACATGATTTTCATGTAAATTATCTGGAAATTAGTTACTCACCAGGATGTAGGATGCAGATCATGTAGATTTATGGAATTCAAGTTAGTTGGATCTCCATATGCTTTCCACTGTGAAGGCCCATCACCGCTAGCCAACTCTTGAATTCTGACATGGATAAAAACAGAATTAGAGATCAAATATGAAAAGGATGTCAAATAGCTAGTCTGGTTATCTTATCACAGTTCCAAGGAATACCTGAAAAGCTAAGAGGATCAAGAAACTACTAACAGCANCCTTCTTTTTTTACTTCAAAGTCCTCTAATTTCTTGCAGACTAATCGTACCCAAACTTTGAATCGAATCAATATTTACACATTTTTGAGTGATTATGCCACCATAAACCAGTGTGCTTCTCTGGTAACCTTGCGAAATGCGAACCCATTAATTGGGAATTCTATTGGAGCCTTTCCAGCTTAACAAATTAAAAAGTTTTGAGAATTATATTATATGTTCCTAAAGAAATTGAATAATTTCGTTTGGTTTAACTAATGTCGTCTGCTTTAATTTTTCCAGTACCAAAAGTGTGTTCGTATTTTGGTTCTGTGGACTTCAGAGTACTGTATTAAACAAGTTGTCTATGTTATATAAACTGTGATTAAAATTGATATGAAATTGATGGTGTCGCAGGCGTTGTGACCTTTCCAAGATACCTTACCATCAATCTACAGAAACCCTTACCCCAAATAATAGAGACTAGAGAGCACTAGAGAGTAGGGAGGAGCAATGGCCAACAAAACCCAATTTTAGAGGGGCAATCATATTGTTTACTGGGCCCAATGAATGGCCCAACCAGGCAACCACCACTAAATGGATGAATCATGAATGAATTATATTTTGGATATTAATGAATGGGAGGAGATCTCCTCTTATATATTATATATCAATAGTAAGTTTGAGTGTGTTTAGTCACTGTGAGACTTTAACACTCTCTTTTACAGTCAAATCCATCTATTGGGTTATGTTTGTTGTTGGAAATAGTTGTCGATTTTAACTCCTCATCTGTTGGTTAAACATTCAGCTAGATTGAACCTGAATTCTGATATCATAATAGAATTTGAGGTGAGTTTGACTTCTTACCTAATAAGACCTTATTGAATGAGAGGATTATCCTCTCTTATAAATCAGTAGGCTTGATCGTGTTTAGTGGTGTGTGACTCCAACAAAATATACTAATAGTACAGTATAGACATCATACCTTATAGTACAAAATTAACGTGGATACTATAACAACGGGGTATTGAGACATAATCTATTCAACTATAAAAAAAAAAAAAAAAAAAAATCAATTATTTACTTGATGAATTCATGTTGAGATTGAATACGAATTGTCTTGCAGCAACCAAAAAGAAACAAGGGGGCGTTTGGTTCGGGTATATCTGACATTACTGGGGTAAGTGATCTTATATTACTTGATTACCATGTTTGGTTGTCAAGTAATATAAGATATCGGTAATTTTTAAATACCAATAGTTGTTACTATTGGTAATATTGGAGGTAATCTGATTACCTCAATTTTCTTAGATTTTTTAAGATTACTAGGGTTATCTTTTTTTGTTATAATTTTATCCTTTATTAATAAAAAATTTGGACAATAATACCCCTATTTTAAAAGAAATTTACATTAATATCTTATTTCAATTTTACTCTTGTTTAATTAAAATTTTGGACAATAATAACTTTATATTTAAAACAATTTACAGACCACCATTACCACCCAGCCACCATCGTCGACAGTGGGCCAACCACCGCGGACCGCCGCCGGAAAGTCGTCGGAGTCCCTAAAAAAGAACAAGATTCGATGGGAGGCTCCGGGAGGCTTCGGTGTGGCTGTTTCCGGTGAGCTACTCACGGGGACTTTCGATGACTTTCGGTGGTGGTTTGCAGTGGCGGCAGGCGGCGGCAGGAGGTGGAGGTGATTTCGTCATAAATTAAAGTTTTATATAAGCGGGGGTGTTTTAGCTAAATCTGAAATATTAGGGGTTAAAAAAACTATTCAAAAATTAATAATAAAAATAATATTATATTAATATTTTAAAAAGGGACAATTTAGTAATTTAAATAACATGCCCACCAATTTATTCCCTATAACCAAACATATTAATATAAAATATCAATCAACTAATCAAACACATTTTTCTAAAGATTTCCAGTAATCTTTCAAGGTAATCTATTTTTTTTCAGTAATCCAACATTCTCAGTAATCTAACATTCCTGAACCAAATGCCCCCCAAAATGCATATCATTTTCGCTTTCCTTCGGTGAAGCTGAATAAAACTCAACATTATATATTTATATTGGCTGGCGGCCGCCACCAGGCACCTAGCCACACTCACACCCACTCAATTTTTTAAAACAAAAAAAAAAAAAAAAAGAAAGGATGAGATTATGGAAGTAAATATTCTCAGAGGCCTCGACAATAGCCGGAGGCAAAATCAAACTTCATCGGCAACGTTTGGTGCCTTAAAGGCCTATTCGTGAGAAGGAAATGGTGGGAAAGAAGAAATGGTTCAGATTTCAAAAAAAAAAAAAAAAAAAAAAAACTTTATGTATTATAGAATTTATAATTTTTACCCCACTTAAATTCATATTAATCTCATCAAAATTTGTATTAATTAAATCTTTTTTCATTTTTTCTCTTTCTTTATTTTTTCTTCATTTGGTTGGATTACTAAAAAATGTTTATTTATTTATTTTTGCTTAAATTTTTTTTCTTTTAGCTTTCTTAATTGATAAAATATTATGAGTTATGAGTTTTTAATGAGTTTATTAAATGGGTTCAAAATTGAAAGATTAAATTCTTAGATTTTGATGTAGTTTTGATTTAATCTTATTTATGTTGAGGTTTCTGTTAATTAATTATTATTTTAAGTTGGGTTCGATAAATTTTGGTTAGTTGTTGAGTTAATTTTGAATGAGTTTAAAGAATTAATGAAACCATAAATTATAGAGATTTGAAAGTTTGGTTTAATTTTGATATATTGGTTAACTGCTTGATATTTAGGGTTGAATTTGATGAGATTTTATGGGTTTATGAATTAAATTTTATTGAGTTAGTAGAAATTGTTTGAAAAACGCTCAGTTATAAGATTCATGACTTTTTTTTTTAGATTTTTTAATTGATGAAGGGTCATAAATTATAGAATTTTGTTGAGTTTAATCAATGAATTTGAAATTGGAGGATTAAATTCCTAAATTTTGAATCCACTCACTCAAAATCTTAACTGCTTCCATGGCCGCCACCCTGGACTTATGCTAATTCAAACCTGGATGGCTAAGTAATTGGACTACAATCTTGTTGCTTGTGGAGTGCCATCATTAAAATATTATTTCCGTGTCAGATAGTTTTGCATATACATCTATCATCTATGTAACTGACCTCTCCTTTGCCAACAAATTAAACTCAGACTCAACAATAATTGATCTTGCATACTCAGAAAATGGCATCTTCTTCAAGTGCTGAGGGAGACAAGTATCGCTCTTACTTGTATGGAGAAGCAGAGAAAAATACCAAATGGAGGTTTGGTGCTCCTCCAAACTACGATGTTGTCAACAAGCTTTTCGAAGAAGGCAGAACCAAGGTTCTTCCTATGTCAATATACACAATTTAATACACTAGTTTTTTTATTTATTATTATTTTTTTTTTCTGATTCTGCAAATTTGTTGGTGGAAGATATGGCCTCCTGGATCACTTGAGGAGAAGGTTCAAAACATTGTAAAGACATGGGAAATGGAGATGTTCCATAAATCAAATTTTGAAGACTACAAAACAGTTAATCCAAATAATTACACTTTCAGCCTCAATGGTAAGTATTTCCGAACTGTTTAAATCTACTTTCTCAACATCAAAGAGTAACCATTTGGTTTTTGTATTGTGCAGGAAGGAAAGCAATAACATTGGAAGAAAAAAGGAAGCTTGGAGGAGGGTACAATTCCTTTATGCAAACCTCCTTACCAGAGGAGTTCAGGTGCTACAATCCAGCTGAGGAAACTGCTGATTCATCTCATGTCGCCTTCACAACAGCATTTCCAAGAGGTTTTGCTCTGGAGATTGTCCAAGTCTATTCAGGTCCACCACAAATTATATACAAGTTCAGGCACTGGGGTTACAAGGAGGGTCCTTTCAAAGGCCATGCCCCCACTGGGGCATTGGTAGAACTCTTTGGAATTGCCATTTTCCAGGTACATTAATTATATTATCTTTACAATACATATTCTTTGGTTTGTAAAATTTCCTAACACAATTTCCCTAATTTGTGCGTTGGAATAGATGGATGAAGAAATGAAAATTGTGAAGGTAGAGTTCTTTTTAGACCGCGGAGAATTGCTTGGAGGTCTTATGAAAGGTGCTCGATTGGATAGTGGCAATGAGGAAGTGGCTTTGAGCTGCCCTTTCTTGAAGAACACTGGCTGAAATTACTCCAACTAATTTTCTTTGTATGAATGAAATGAACAAGAAAAAGGATCTTTCAGAATTTGTACTCCACCAAGCTGTATCAGCTGCATATTGTTGAAAATAAAATTTGATCTTGCCGTTATTATAATTTTTTTTTCCTTTTGGGTCATGTTTTTGTTAAAGACACAAATAACTATAAAATAATCTCAATTAACATAAAATAAAAATATAATAATAATAAATTTGGCTTTCAAGGTTTCATGTCTGCCACAATCCTTTAATTTTTTTTTTCTTTTAAATAATAATTTCTCGGTTCACAGGAAAGTTACTAGCTCGCTTTCTAGTCATTAGGTAGCTACCATAAGATCGGGCTATCTGGTTCATATTATAATAGAGGTTCATATTATAATACAGTAAAATCTCTCTATAGTAATACTCTATATAAGAATAAACTTTACATAGTTATAAAAAATTATAGTCCTAATTTGAGATAGTTATAAATAAGAATAAACTCTACATTGTAATAAGTTATAATTTTTCTAATTCTCGCCTTAAGGAAAATTACCTCTACATAGTAATAATTATCTATATTAATTACAAAAAAAATATATGTTATGTAAAATTAAAGGTTTAAAATAAAATATAATATTTATTTAAAATTGTTTGGGACAATGATTTATGTTTTAGAGTTGTTATCATATCTTTTACCTTACAAGTACGTAATAACTCGTTAGTATGGATACCTTCTTGTAGAAGCCAAAATATTTTTTGTTTCTCAAACATGTTTAGAGCTTCATGGCACAAGACTTTTTGTATTGCTGTACTATTATCCTTAGGATTATTTCCTTTCTCTTCTTGTCCAATTGCAACAATGATTTCTCCTTTGGTTAAAGCATACATGATTTGTTGCTCATTTGGATAATAAAAAAAGACATCAATATCTATTCAATTAGCATAGTGAAGTTGTCAAATCTGATCACTCAATTCTATAGTAACTCTTTTATTCTCATCATCCACTTCATTTATAACTTACGATTCATTGACATTAGTGGTCCTAATTTTGCAGTGATTAAAACCATTGACAATTGTCTGTGGCTTCACATCAATTGACCATGCATCAACTGCATTTACAGTTCCATTAATGTAACTTATTTTTCCTGGTTCTAAGAAACGATCTTTTATCCGTTTCAAAAGTAGGCAATTACTAAAATATGAATTGAAATCATAATATTACTAAAATATGAATTGAAATCATAATACTGTACTACTAAAACATGAATTATAAAATAAGAAATCAAAACTATAATTTTTGTAACTACACCTCTATTAAATTATAATCTCTTTATAGTAATAAAATTAGTTAGTCTCACTATTATGACTATAGAGAGGTTTTACTGGATAAGATAAAATATTCAACAGCAGACAAATATTTCAACTTCACTTATAGTAATTGGATTCAACACCAAAATAAAAAAAAAAAAAAAAATCTACAAAATAAAAAATAAATTAAAGACATATATACGTGCATGAACAATTAATACTATGTATATATTCATATAGGTGTTTCCCATAAAAAGGATATAGCTGATTTATTAGGGAAAAAAAAAAAACAAACCTTCAAATATTTTACTTTATCTAACAAAAATAATACTAACCCTCAAAGGTTTGACCTGGCGAGAGGGAGCTCATTCAACCTTGATAAAGTCTTTAGTTTGAGTCTCTCTTGTAGCGTGTCTCTTGGGGGGATAAGGTTAAGGTTCAATTTCTGATACCATCGAAAATGATTAGAATCATCTTTTTAGGATTGTTTGCATTTATCTGTTCGATGGTATACATGGCCAGAGGTCTTATATATTCATGATGAAAATGATTGAAAGAGTGAAATTAGAAGCCAAAACTCATTAATTGAAGAGGAATAATATGTCAATTAAAACATATCACCACAACACTTTGTATGTACATCTAATAATCACTCTTTTTAAGATTATTGAATCTTATTTGTCTAATTATTTCTCTTTGTTTCAGCCAAATATTAATTATAAAAATATCTTGAATTTTTCTAAGCACTCACGATTCCTTTACCAACAAGTTACATATAACCTTTCACAAAACCATAGAGCCAACTATGCTAATTAATTCAATATAAAAAAAGAAAACAAAAAATATATATGGAATCTTTTGACTTCTTATATAATGTATGATTTATATTTTATACTACCATACAACCACTGCTAAACCTACCAACTTACGGAATTCAGATTTTCTGACCATACATGTTTATAAATTCAATTAAATATTTATTATAAAGTTAAAATATACTAAATAAATTTGACTTTCAAGGTTTATCTACCACCAGCCTTTAATTTTTTTTTTTTCTTAATTCACAAAAAAGTGGAATAGTTGTACATAGTGTAGACCAAAAGTGTTTTGGTCACTACAAGCTTACTAGTCATCACATCTAATTAAAATCACAATCATATTAATAACGACAAAATCGGCCCATCTTATGGTATTTCCATTCAACACCCAAAAAGAAATAAAAAACAAATATCATTAACAACATTATCTTATAGCATTTCCATTCAACACCCAAAAAATAAAAATAAAAAAATCTAAACAAAATATTAGCGCTTGAAGATTCAATTAACATTTGATTGAATCTTCGTTCTCAATTCACAGGGATGGGTTAGATTCATATAATATACATAATGAATGGTCAATTTATTCAAAGCTTGACTAGGCATGTGGTGTTGAATGACGCTCAAACTTGCATATTCTAAGTATAATTTCTGCCTATATAACCTTACTTTTGTACCATGAAATTTTAGCACTCCAATCTTAATCTTCCCTATATAGCTCCTTCAATGGCGTCTTCAGGTGTTAAGGGAGACAAGTATCGTTTTTTCTTAAACGATGAAGATGAGAAGAATACCACCTGGAAATTCGGTACTCCTCCTACTTATGAGGCTGTCAACAAGCTCTTTGAAGAAGGCAGAATTAAGGTCTCTCTCTTTCTCTCTCTTCTTCAATTCTTTCGCGTATTTAATTCTATAATCTAATTAACCTGTGATTTTTCGTGGAAGATATGGCCGGCTGGGTCACTTGAAGAAAAAGTTCAGAATCTTGTCAAGGCATGGGAAACTGAAATCATGCACAAGAAGGAGATCAAAGATTTTAAAACAATCGACACAAACAACTATACTTTCAGCCTAAATGGTAACACCAATTAAAGAAATTAATGCTCAGCCATTGGCTACAAATATTAAGTATTGATCGTGATTCAATTACTCTCTAGGACGGAAAGCATTGAATATGCAAGAAATCGGAAAGCTTGGTGGAGCATACAATCCGCATCTGCAAACTTCGTTACCAAAAGAGTTGAGAGTCTACGATCCTGAAGAAGAAACATCAGTTTCATCTCACACTGCCTTCACCACAACTTTTCCTAGAGGATTTGCTTTGGAGGTTTTCCAGGTTTACAGTGGACCTCCAGTTATTGCTTTCAAGTTCAGGCACTGGGGTTACATGGAGGGTCCATTCAAGGGCCATGCCCCCACTGGAGACTTGATAGAATTCTATGGCATGTGCATCTTTGAGGTGTGGTATCTCTACAAATTGACTTTGGCATTTTTAATTTGTTACATAAATTAACAATTTGATACAATATTTTGTTGTTGAAACACAGGTGAATGAAGAGATGAAAGTTGTGAAGGTGGAGTTCTTTTATGATCGTGGAGAATTGCTTGGAGCTCTTCTCAAAGGTGCTAAAATGGATGGCTCTGTTGAAGAAGCAACTTCAAGCTGTCCAGTCCTCAGGAGCACTGGCTAAAAGTAACGTTTTATGAAATTGATCAATTAAAAAAAAAGGGAATAAAATTAATGAATAAATGCACATGTTGGAGAGAGCAATTTGCAGTTGAAAGCTCACAGTATGTAAGTCACAGTTGGAATGGCGAATTGGGTCAGTTTTTATTTGGAAAATTAATCAAATTATAGTTACTGACCACCTTAGTGGGTGAGTAACATAAATAGAGTCTTCAAAGTGTATCTATCTATGAATGGATAAACTTCATGGGTGTTTCTTGTGTTAATTATAGCCTTTTCCATTTCAATAATTTTTTAAGGCTTGGAATACATATAAAATACATAACTAGTTTCATGTTATGAAATTAAAAGATAATTTTTTAGCATATACAAAAAGAAAAATACTACATTTTACAAGAAGCCTAATATACAGTGATGTGATAGGTGATGATTGTCACATCACTTGCTACATCATCACTTACCAATTCAACATTTTGTAAAATATTTAATAATTAATTAAAATATTTTAGTTAACCCAAATTTAGAAATAAAAAATGGATTTTAAAATACTTCCCATCACCATTGAATCAAAAATCCCCAATTCTCTTTCAACTAACAACCCCTAACCACTACCACCAATTTCAACCGCACCGTCATCGTCTATCCTCTTCCACCACCTCTAGCAACCGCACTATTGTAGTCTATCCTCTTTCTCTTCCAGCACCACTGTCCATAACTTTTATGGGAAATTTGGATTTGAAACTCCTCTTTTTTTTTTTTTTTTGTTTTTTTTGGTTTGTGAAGGAAGTAGTTTTATTTTTTGAAATTTAATTTATTACCTATTTTCCAGAGATGACAATTGTACCCGGATTTCTGGGTATCCGGCCAGGCCCGTACGAGTCGGACATTAGCCATTGCTTGCGGGGATAGGCATGGCCGGGCCGGGCCCAAGACAACCATTGGCTCGACCCGACCCGAGTTTTAACATGAGGCCATTGTTAATTTTATTATTTTATGTATCAGCTCAGCCCGTGTTAATTTCTACAATTTATTTTCTCAACTCACCTATATATATATATATATATATTACTTGGATCAAGCAAAGTGGTAACTTGCTATGAGTATATGCGAATTCTTCTTCCCAATTTATGGTATATTTTCCTCCTTTCCTAGATAAAAATATCAATTGAAGATGCTTTCTATTGTTTTTATATGTGAATAAGAATGATATCAAAGGCTCAGATGCAATTATATAGTGGTTTTTCATAAGCAAGTTACAATATATTTCCACATATATTAGAATTATTTTTTTTAATTGATATTAAGGCACCCTTTTATCTTTACAAACATTTGTGATCAAACAAAGCAAATAACTCATTAATAAAATAACTTTTATGCCGATTTTGGTTCGGACTTGAACCATTGGAGTCTGGTTAGTTGTACACTTCAATATTGCTTGCAGTTTGGGCTGCTAAAATGGACATGGATTTATAAGACTTGGAAAATCAAAGTTTAGTTCTATCTCCGTCCAAGAATGTAATTTTATTTGATGATGTTAAATTGCATTCCATTTATTTTCCAAATAAATAAAATAAAAATGCCATTCAATGTTTAAGTTATCATTTTAAAAAAAAAACAAATTTTTATTTCATTTGGTTATGATTTTGAAATAATTTTATGGTAACAATCAATTACGATTTTAGTCAAACCCAAGATCCCTTGTCCATCATATTAATCTGTACACACAAAAAATATAGTGATTAAAGTATAAGATACTATTAATTAAGTTAATATGAATGACAAAGAAAGATATATCAAAGACTGCCCGTGAGAAAATAAATTATAGAAATTAACATGGGCTGGGATTGGGGGTTATAAAATGGCCCGGGCCAAGGGGTACCCGATCCCGATCCCGGTCCAGCCCATTGTCATCTCTACCATTTACATTGTAAATCTTGGAGTTGATATTCAATCAAATCATAAGATATTACTCATAAATGAGTCATTTAATACATGAGTAGACTTTTTGACTTTTTTTTTTGTTTTCAAATTTATTTGGCTACAATACTTGACTTTTACAAATCATACGGAAGATATTATACTAAATTGGCAAATTACCATTTAGTCCATGACTATTTTACATAAAGAACACAACTTTTATTTTAAGACACGCAAAACTTTAATCGTCTGACAGGTTTGTAATATGCCACGAGTCTTTATCCTAGAAATCGAGACAATCCATTGATTGAATCCAGTCAGTACGGATTTGTCAAGAAGATGTATCTGGATGAGTATCCAGAGAAATGTCTGAAAACTGAGATGTCTGCTTTGCAGAGGTACTTGGTGCATGCATGTACTGTTGTCGCCTGGATTTATGAAGATAGTAATTACGAGACTATTAAAGCTCTTCTTCCTGCACAATATCTGGCTGTGAGTCTGGGTACCACCATTTTGGATAATCTGAAGTGACGTTGAATTGAGCAGTGATGGAACGTATGCATGTTTGTTTGGCTTGGAGTAATTTCTCAGTGTAGTCTAGACGAAAGAGTTCCCACAGAGCATCATCGTGAAAGGATGGGCATATTTCGTTCGGAATTATCTGATTTTTTTCAAAAAGGATTTTTTGAATTGATCTAGTCTCAACAGGATCGTCAAACATATTATGGACGAGATCATATGCATAAGACTGATGAAATGTGATTTGATGCTGTGAAAAATATAGGTCATGGAATTTGATGGAGTGATGTCTGTGGAAAAACATGATAGACCATGCCATTTTGGTAGACATAGAACCTTTGTATCAGGCAAGCTGATGAGCAAACACAAATTTCTATTTTTTTCGAGTTTTGAACCATTTGAGAAAAGTCATCAAAGAGTGTAATTCAGAGGTTGAGGATGACTGATATTGGGAAATCATTTTCAACATATGATGGACTAGGAATTGAATGAAAATGCGGTACTGGTGTAACATATACCAAAAGAACCATAATAATTCTTCTAGAAATATGATATCAAGACCTAGAGGTAAACAAAAGATTTTTGAAAAGAGGTAATTTTGATGGACACCTAACATATCATACATAGATTGTCCACATTTTTCAATGCATTGAATCTGATAAGAAAACATGAGGGTGGTAGCATTTTCATCAATGGTACGAGTTCAAATAAGGTCATCGAATTCAAGAGGTACGTCTGGAGTATGGTTTGGTGAAGAAGATGATGAACAGGAATTGGATTGGGTTAATGGTTGGAACATGAAACATGGAAGAGGTTTAGATCTAGGGTTCATGATACCGACTTATTTAATTTTAAGACTGGATAAATAATCTACAATGGTGTTGGTGTGACCTTTGATGTGTTGGACGGTGAAGGAATATTTGCTGAACCATTCTACCAATCGAAGTAATTATTGATGCAGAACCTTTTTCTTGTTGAATTGAAGCATTTGATCAAAAGACTTCATATTCGTTTCAACAAAGAAGTGATATCCAACAAGATGAAATTCAAACCTTTCAATGACATTTTTTACTGCTAACACTTCCTTGAAAGTAGAATGATAATGTTGTTGGTGTGGTTTGAATTGTCCATTCTAGTATCCACACAAATGTCGTACTTTGTCATCATCTTGTTAAAAAAGCACTGCACCCCAATGAGTGTCACTAACATCCGTCTAAAGAATTCTTTTCCTAGAAAAATGAATCTTCAACGGCTGTGTATGGAAGGATTTGCGTTTAAGACTCTTGACTGCATTTGTTTGCTTTTCAGACCACGAAGGAGGATTCTTCTTAAGCATTTGGGAAAGTGGAGTAGTGAGACAAGAAATGTTGGGAATAAAACTACGCATGTAATTGGCAATTCCCAAGAATTGTTGTATTTCTTTCTTGGTTGTGAGAACATCTGGGAATTTTTGCAACTCATTAGCAACATGAGGTTGAAGATCATACTTGCCGTCAGCAATCACCATACCAAGAAAATCAATGTTTGTCTGCCTTAACAACATTTTCTTTTCAGAGAGCATAATACCATAATAGTATATGATATCGACAAAGTCATGAAGAAGATGTATATGAGATTCCTCATTTTTTGAAAAGAGAAGGATATCATATCATTGATATAAATGAGACATATATGAAAAAGGGGAGCAAAAATCTTTGTCATGGCTTTCTGAAACAGGGAAGGAGTGACCTTAAGTCCAAAAGGCATGACCGTCCACTGGTAGTGTTGATTGGGAATGCAGAAAGCAGTCTTACAACGATCATCATGATGAATTCCAAGTTGCCAGAATCCAACTTTGAGATCAAATTTGGAAAACATCTTTGCATTATGGAGATTTGAAAAGAGAACTTGTTTGGAAGGCAGAGGAAATTTATAATCACGGAGAAAGAAATTTAATAGCTGATAATTGATAACAAGTCTGAGTTTTCCTTTGGCTTGTTTAGCATGTTTATTGACATAAAATGCTTCACATGCCCATTGAGAATCTATGGGTTCGATCAATCCTTGAGATAAAAACTGAGTACATTCTTTTTGGGCTAGACTGAGATATTTTGGTGACATGCCTAAATGACTAGCTTTAGTGGGATTGATATCTTCGCTCTTGATGAATGGAAAATGGATAAAGAAATCAGAATTCTTCCAGACAATGTTCTGAAAACCGGACCGAACTATGACCCGTTCAAGGGTCTAGTTTTCGGTTTGATCAGTTTGACCGATTTGATCGGTTCGTTGGACCGTGTCCTATAAAATTATATTTTAGTCCCTAAATATTTAAAATTCATCAAAAACACCCCTATAATACTCCCTTAAGGTTTGAAATCTGTCTAAAATACCCCTGTCGCGCGAAGAGACTGCTGAGTGGTGATGGCAACGACGATCGACGGCCAATCAAAGTTTGGAATCATAGGGCTTTTGATGTATAGGTTCCGGCGAATCCGAAGGTGGTGTTAGGGAGTTCCATCGGCGTTGAAAATTGCCGGAATCAAGAAGGAAGTCCGACGACGAGCGACGAAGGCTGGACGACGGCCACTGAAAATGGATGGGTTTTGTCATGGAGATGCCGTCA